GTGATGGTAAAGCCAGATTCTAGGACCACTGTCAAGAACAAGGCAGAAATGTCTGCTAGTTAGCAAAGACACTGAGAGGAAGAGATTAGGCTATCAGTGTTGGCCAACACTGCTAGAGGGCAGGTCAAATTACAGACAGGCTAAAAACACAAAGTCTCAACAGCCTTCAGATGTTATGTGTGATAGCAACTTTGCTCTACTGCTTTTACTTTGTTAACAGTCTCTTATTATGTTGTATTAAAAAAAAGGCAGAACGCAACACACAAGGTCCACACAGCCTTGACTTTATCCATAACCCGTCATCATCTGAGCATCTCTGAAGTCTGAGCAGCAGCTCGGATGAGGCGGGGGAATACAAACACGGCTAATGCAAGCCAGATCAAAGGCCACTTCATCCAGATGTTTCAGATGAGCGGGAGAATCTATCGACATACACAGGAAGCAGAGTAGGACCAACAAGCATGATGGTACCCAGACTCATATTATAACCAGGTGTGAAAGTTAACACCTGCCAAGCAGAAAAAGGTAGTGAAATGTGTCTGTGGTGGAAGGCTTGGCAATGGTTCAAGGATTTCTTTTTCAGGAGTGATACCACATCTTGATTTTTATTTAATAAAATGACAAAATCAGGTGTGAATTGCCTTTAGTATGTTATCTGAAAATCAGGACTTGACATTGAACTCAACATTAACCACATAGTTTGGCACTATTAACTTCAAGTACTACTTTGGCACATAAATAGATACGTTAATAGACACAGTGGCCTCCAAATAATGTTCCCTGCTTGTAATACATTTTCAGTGATTGGCTGCTCTAAACTTTGTCTATGTCTCTATACAAGGTTCGAGGGTGCCCTGTGTGTTCTCCACACAAGTATTGGCATTCGAACTTTTGTTTTTTTTTTCTCCCCCAACAACCTTAATAGTTAGAAGTTTCCCAATCTTTGGTTCCCATTTGGAAACCCACAGGGCATTGTTTGATATGCAGACAGGGTCACAGGAGCGCTTCAAGATGGATGTCATTATAAATTTGAAATATTTTCATTAAAAAAAAGAAAAGAAAAAAAAGGATGTATTCAATAAGTTTGAAATACTCAATAATTATGATCCCCTTGCAGCAGGCTGGAAAATAGAAGAAAAATGTATGTCCTGCTCAAACTCACATGACAGCTAAAATACTATCTAATTGCTGGGCTTGTGAGAATTTTGGGCCCTAAAGGTGGGGTCACAAGCTACAAAACGGTTGAGAAACACATGGGCAACTAGTCTACAGCTGGTTTATATTGCATTGTGAAACATTCAAATATCGACTGAAATTAGTAAACCTGTGAATCTGATTCCAACTGCTTCTCCACACTGCAAACAGATGAAAGTGGGGTGTCATTTTGCTGTACAGGAAGCAGCATGACTTGGTGGTGGTTGATTCAGCAGAAAGAGTCAAGAGCAGGTATATTTTTCTATCATCACCGTGGGCAGTAAACACCGTCTCTGGTTGCAGAGCTAAAAGCCCAACTTTCTCATAATATAGCAAGGGTCAAGAGGTGAAATCTGTAGCATACTATTACAACCGAGCTCTGATTAATCAAAACACAGTCAATAGATTTCTGCCTCTACATGTCCTCATCAAATCAAGGGTTGATTTAAAAATCACAAATACCTTCTGGATTATTATTCCTCACAACAAATGCCACATGACGGGACTTCACAGAGCAACATTCTCCCCATTAAATAGTTAAACAAGGTTGAAAACTAACAGTTTCTTCTTTTACACATTTCCAACTATGTGTGTAAACCTCATCAAGACAATAGATATAATAGCCTCGAGCTAACATGAGAGTTCCTTGATGTCAGTGCCTCCTGGGCCTGATTTCCTCCCAATGGAGATGCAGCGGAGAGGGCAAACCAGGGTATCTGTCACCTGACTTGGCTTCGGTGTTCAGTGTGCTGAAGTTTGGAAGAAGTCAAAGACTGTAGCAACACCAGAGGCCTTATTTCAAAACACCTTTCATTCACTCTCAAATTACGGCGTGCGCCTAGACAAACTGGATGGTGTTTTACTGAAAAAAAAAATAAAAACACATTCAGGAATGCGTTGCCCCACGAGGTTTGAAAGCTTAGTGCAGACCACTCCCAAATCATATGAAACTACTAATGGAAGAAGAAAACCATGACGATGTGAGATAGTATTGACTGAGAACCATCTAAATCAGTGTAGCCACATAGAAACTGGAAGCAGCCATTAGTAACTTTCACTGAAACAGAGTGCACAGTATACAGATGAAGAACATAAAATGTCAACAAAAGTATAAAGATGTTTATGCTATATTAATAGTAATACTGTTCAATCATTTTCATAAGTTCTTCAAAAACTTCTCAAATCTTCAAACTTTGAAGCAGCATTTTCATTTTCTGTGGAAGCTCTGGTTAAGACATTTTTGCCAAGTTCATTATTTTATTTATTATAAACGGTTCCGTATGGCATTATCTTACTGTAGGTTTCCTGATCAATAATTCTCACTCTCAAGCCTGAACACCTCATTTAAATTTATACAATTTGCTTCAATCAAAAAAAACAGAGCTGCCCCGCCCCCACACCCAACTATGCCCTTAGTGTGTCAGTGATTTGATGCCAACGCTTTGATCCACAGTGTGAATCCTTCCTCCCCCAAGTTGAAATGAAATCAGCACCACTGGTAAGACTGATGTCAAAGCAGCACTTCAACAAGTCGAAAACGAGCTAGAAAAATGTTTCTGGCAAGCATCGCTCACTTATTACTGAGTGACATTCAGATATCAAATAGACGGCAGCAGGAGCTGGCACTGAACTTCAGTGCTGCTTATTAACTCGGCTCAGAGTGGGAAGTGCTGACCAGAGAGAGCCACATCATGATCATCCTATTCATTCAGACAGGGAAACTTGGTCAAACAGGCACAGCACCCTGCATCAGAGAAATCACCGGCTCGATCCCTGCAGCAACGGGGTATCCTTGGGTCTTTCCTGCTTACTCATTTTAAACCACTCCGTTAAAAACAAAGCATTAGGAAGCAGCACTGGAGTTGTCAACTTGAAGTTAGGCTTTCTAAAGTACACAAATACCAAAAGCTACACCAAATAACTGCTTTCAAGATATCTATATCACTAAATAAATTATATTAGTTGTCTTCACATTCACAACAAAGTCATAGAAATGCACACAGAGCTTATACATTTCCAGGGAGTCAGTCGTTACAGATGGCCATTCAACTGGATAATCAAGATTAACAACTGATATTAGCAATCCAACCAGCTCAAGTGTCCTTGAGCGAGGCATTGAATCTGAACCAGCTCCAATGAGCAGATATCCATTTTTGTTAACTGGCTATGACCTCTGACCTTCCTGGATGACAGCAAAATGAACATTACCTCCCACCCGACGTGATTACCCACTTTTGCCTTTAAAAAAACTGGGGGGGGGGGGGGGGGTGCAGCCCTGGTAGGGGCAAGACAAGTCTAGCTGCCTGCTGCTTCTGACAGTCACTACACCAAACTGCTACAAACTTCATAAAATAGCTCCAACGTATGTGGAGACATGAGTGTGATATTCAATGTGTCGGCCGACTAAGCTGTCAGACCTCCTTTGCTCATGCACTTTCCAAAAATATTTTTACAGGTAATAATTACAGTGACTTAGCTGCTCTGAGTAACGGTGGTGGAAATGTCAGGGGGGAAAGCTTTCTTCTTAAACAAGTCATGATGTTAATGGCTTCATATCATTTTCTGCATAGTTTTGTCATCTGCAGGATAGGGCATATCTGACTACTGCATTATGTGCTGCACATGTACTTCAATCACACTCAAAACTAAGACAAAAAATGATTTCTGAATGTTAGTGTTTTACTGAGTGAAAATTTGATCACAGTAACTCCAAAACCTTTGCACTATAGCTACTTCCACTCAAAGAACAGACACAAACAAATGTCGCCAGCCATCTGAGCTCCCAAGAAGAATATTAAACCAAATCACATCATCTTTATACATTAGGTCAATCATACCAAATATGAGGCTGGTTACTGGTAGTTTGTGGCCAATACGGCACACAGAAAGACACAGACTTCCTTCAGCAGCACTGCAAATCTACATGCGCTTGATGCATTTCTCCTCTGTAGCCAATGCTGACAGTTAACTGAACTTTTGAGGGGCTACAAGTCTCATAATCTTAGCACAGTTTGTAATCAAATTGACTACTACACTTGCAACAGCTTGCATCAAGAAGCCAATGTAGTAATAAAAAGAAAAAAAGAGGAGATAATTAGTCACTGCTTATAATATCAACCAGTGACCTGCTGTTGCCTGTAAAATATCTATGTGAGGCTACAAGCGTGTCTCTGCTACAGAGGTGTTATCCCCTGCAGGCAGGTGCTAGTGATGGGAACAATCATTGCATGAGGTAGGGGGAGAAGAAAAGGAGCACAGAAAGCAGCAACACCAAAACCACAAATGCCAGCTGTTGGGGAGAGCTGCATTTATACCAAACTCCCATCACTGGCAGCTGACTGTGTTAACACTTGGAAGCAGATTGCAATACATGTTACTGCACCCAGAGTGCCTCAATCATTAGTGCTATCTCAAAAACAAACTGCGGCTCCATCATTTTCAGAGAGAATTAATTATCATTTATGGCTTAGGGATGTTATAGACAAAATCCTTTGTAAGTGTGTTCTCCAAATCTATGTTCCAGATGTAACAAAATACACACACAAGACACATTTGGCCAGATATATCTTTTATAAAAAGACAGACCAGGATATTCTTTTCTTATAAGGGAGTGCATACCTACGTACCATGCCATGGTAAATGTACACAATAAACACCTTGCTTTGCCTGTCACAATATTGTACTGGTGCTGCTTCCTAGCAGAGGAGAGCGCAGAGGCTAGATCCTGCTGACTGCATCTTAACATTTTGTAAACACTTCCCACATGCTACCTGAGAGAGAGAAAGCTGCATGGCTATGCTACTTACCGAAGGTAGTACTGTTTTAAAGCAAATGCAGCGTTGGAACAACTCCTTGGAAAGTTAAACTCTTCTCCAAGTTCGATCCATTGGTTTTTGTCAGAAACCTGAAAGTAGGGAAAATTAGTTTGTTAAAGATAAACAGTGGCAACAACAAAAAGAGCGGTTACACTGCAACCATCTAGTCTGCTACAGGTTCCCCCAATGAGGCAATATCAGAATCACTAATCAATAACTTTCGCAAACTGCTGAAAATATTAAAAACACTGAAATGGTCTGGCAGAACATTTGGTAAAATAGCATTTAACGTTAATTAGCTACTAATGTTTGTTACTCGAACACATTTACATTTGACACACCAGTAAGTACAACTGCCCGACTCCCTTCAGAATACTATCGTTACTGTTGAGGCTAGTTAGCACTCTAGCTAACAAGCTAACTTGACTTTTCACATTTTGACGTTAAAACCTAACGAGGCTAAACTCCAATAAACTGTCTCCATCTCAAAACAAACGCTTTAGCTTGCGGCGACCCGTTTAATTTTGGAGTATGTTTTGGTGCCGTTTACTGTATTCAATACATGGGCCTGTGAGGCCTACATTTTGTGATCAGCCATGAAGCCGAAGAAAGATGGCTATGGCGAGAAAGAAAAAGCAAGCTTCCCCTGGGTGAAAACAGCCGGTAAAAGCCCGGGCGAAACGCTATGTCCTAAGCGGTGTTTCCCGAGGCCGGGCTCCGTGCCGATAATCGATGTTAAACGTGCCCGCTAATTTTGAGTCGCTCCAACTGCACTCTGACTCCGAGCGGTTGGACTCTCAATTCAAACCACACAACAACACAAGCCACCACATTGCATAGAGATACATGGCAAACTAGCACAAGGCCAACACCGACCCACTAACGTTTTTCTCGAGTGTTACACTTGTCCCGGGGTGTCCACACGGAGTTGTAGAGTGGTCCACCGAGGAGTCCACAGACTGCAGAGTGTGGAGAAAAACCACTTTTAGTTCCCACTCACCTTAGCAAATCCACCTAAAGAGACGACTCTGATATAGAGAGCATTCAGATCCAGCTCTTTCCCACCCACGAAAGGAATCTTCTTGAACGGCGATCTGAGGGGATAACACAAGAAATAAAGCCACATATGTTTAAATAACTCTTTTGGTGAACTCGCAGTAGCATGCAATTAAGATTTAAAGTTATATTTCTTGGGAATAAAGACGCCCCAATCTCACCCTCTGCTTTGGTGAAATTGCCGCAGCTCGTCCAGGAAAGCCTGTCCTTTCCTTCGCTGATCTAGTAGATTTTTCCCCGTCGAATTTGCCATTGTTTTTGCATGCAAAAACGGTTAAACCCCACTTCAGTCGCTTCTTAAGACACCAAGGATCCCATACTCCGCCGGCGCTCAGTCATTCGCGAAGCTGAGTGTTTAAAAAGTTAAAGAAATAGCTGATAGCAAGAAGAGCGGCAGCTCGCTAATAAAGACTGATGCACACAGAAAGCAAGCCCGATTCAATCCCGGACTAAGTTCCAACGAACAGTCAGAAATACGACCGATTCACCGGCGGATTAGGAACGCCATGGCAGCATGTGTTGAATAAATGCTTTTGGTCGCGGTTGTATTCGTTTGGAGTGGTTTGACAGTGTGTTACGGACGCAGCTCCGAGGCTATCGCACACACTGTAGAGCGGCAGAGGGATCCAGTTCTCAGACAAAAAGATGTGAAGGCCGCGCAGCCCGGCCTGCCATGCGCACAGCGCCCTCTGTGGCCACAGACGGCGCTGCACCGTCCAGAGCGGAGCGGGTGCTGGAACAATAGAGACTGTTTTCTTTTTAAGGGACCGTCTGACAACTCGTCTCTGTTTGGAAAACGGGTCAGAAGGTACTTGGAAATGCCCTATGGGGGGAGGGGATCACACTAATTAAAATAGCTCTCTTGTTATCCCAACCAGGCGTGTAATGGAGGGCAACCCTACATTTTATTGGTAAAATCCAACTTTTTAAGGCTGACATTAAACCTAATTATAGTTTATTGGTAGCCACATGATTTTTAATGATTAATGTCTGAAGGCTAATTAACAAACTGTATATCACTACACTGAATACATTTTGACATTCTATAATATAATCTAAAATAGTTTCCTTGCAATGGTGGTTATGTACATATTTCGTCTGAAATGTATTTATTGTGACATTACAATAATTACATTATTGTGTTTTATGTCACAGTAATTGTGCAGCCCAGTGGGATCTCTTGACTTAAATCATGACATAAATTAATTGATTGATATGTTGAGCATGATTTAGTTTAGTTTGCCATATAGTGCCGCTTAAGTGTTTTTTTCATGGTGCAATGTGTTAATAAAACTTGTAAATATTGTAGGAAGCTACCCCTATCCCTTGCTGACCGCTTCAAAACGACTTTTATCTCACGGGATGGTTGAAAATTACTCCTGATCCCTTCTCCCTGTAACTGCCAAGCGGATATCTTCTTGATGGGGTTACATTCAACCATTACACGTACCCCTTTGCTCAATGAAAAACCTGTCACAAAATGGCGGAGACGTACGTTAGCAGACCCCATTTTGAGGAATTGACACTAGACAGCGGAATAGTGCGTGTGCTTGCGTGTGTTTTTCATAGTGGTGGTCTTTTTTGCAAACAAATTGCGGTACACCCGAGTTCACATCACGCCTGTTTGGACTCCCCATCCGTCAACCGAATTCTGGGCTAACGAGTCGGTCGTGCGCTAGCTTGTTAGCTTAGCTAACGTTAGCTAACTTAGCCAAATTACCTCGAACCTGTTCTCAGCACTTAATCCAATAACCCGCCGACATTTCACGTACACAAATAATTTATGTAGTGATTTGTGTCGTTACTAGTCAATATTAACGTTCTATTGAAGTAGTCCTTGGTGGCGAATCGTTTGGGCGCTAGCTGTAACGTTACCGGCGTCATGAATTCACTTAGCACGTCAGATTCCAGTCCTTACAACACTGCACATATTGCTAACTACGTTACCTCCGGATGACAACAGCTCGCCTAAAACCTCCCCGGGCAAACATAATGTTGCAGTTGTCGACATTTAGCTATATGTAGCATCAAAAGCGGGGTCGTTTTCACCACAAGAGACCTGCATAAGTAATTTAGGTTGCTGTGATAACTGTTCAGCGTTAAGGCACGGCGGGTTTGTAAGCTAAAGGGCTAATCAGCCACCGTGTGTGCGTGTACGCCGCGGCTTTGCATATGTAGTTATTTGATAGGTTTTGAGTCCGTGTTGTTGATAATGATGCGACTGCTAATCAGTAAAACTATTTAGTCAACTTTACTTTGTGTTCTTGTCGTCTATGCTACTTCTGTTCACCGACTTCTTTAGCCACGGCATGTACTGTGCACATGTGCACATGTCGCACAATGGCGTGCTAAAGGTGAAATCCATCTTGGTATCTGCGGACCTGAATTCACCGTTCATACATATTTTAGCTGCGTATTGTCAAACCGATAGCATTAAAGAATCGTCCCTGTTTAATTTACGTGTTTGTCTTGTAATTTTGTGAAAGTCATTGCTTCGCAGTCCATTATTGTAGCTAATTCACCATTGACACATTTAAACCTCAATGCTTATAAGTAGGACTTACTTAAATTGCATTGGGGTTGAATAAAGTAAATTAATTCAGTTCATGTTGACTAATAGCCTAGTTGAAGTAATTAAGGAAAACACTGCTGTATCACCAAGGCTTTGCTTTGTGGTGTAAGGTGCATTTGGGGGTTAATCAATCATGCCAATGCTGATGTTCAGTTTTGCATCAAACATGTAGTTCCATATGGATAGTTATTTTCATGTCCATGTTTATGGTAATTATATATAGTAGGTAGTTTAAATGCATACCGCTGATTTGAAGTCAAAAGATCCTCAGTGAGACGCCATGTAGATACATTATTTACCTTTTGCGTTTTAGACCCAAGTTACATAATAAAACATATTTAATAATTCCAGGCAGTAAATTTAAACTTGTTGACATATTCTAAGGATTTTCTAATATCAATGTGATAGATGGTTGATGTTGCTTACAGCAAAACACTTTGCTTCAAAAACATGGGTACAACATAATAAAAATACTGTATGTCAGGCATGGCATTACAGTAGCGCCATAGGGCAAAACTATATAAATGCTGTTAGCAGTACAAAATGTCTTATTTGCTATATAGGATTTCTAGTTTTTGATTAATGGCTTAATTCACAGTAGTGTGACCATTCATAAGTAGTTTAACTGTAGAAATTATTAAAATGGACCAAATGAAGGCCCTAAAATCAATAATTGTTGTTGAATAATTGTTGAATTGTAAATGAAAAGGTGTATCAACGGACTTCCTGCTTATTATCATAATGGACTCCTAAGGCATCAAGTTAGAATATGTGTTCAGAGACATTAATTAATGCACTTCTTAAAAGATTATATATGCCATTGGACAGCCATCAAATTATTTTGTGAACCAATGCCATGAAAGTACACATTAAGGCAAATGTGACGAAAAATCTGTAAACAAAAAGCAGATTGAACTTCAGTTCTAGCCTTGACATCATTGCAGTAACCCATTTAAACTAAATTTAAAAGTGATGAATGGTGTGCGGTGACTGTGAATGTGCACTTGAAAGCTGCATGGTCAGTTATGCCATCACACAGAGGTCCTCATATGATGTGACAGCCAGGCCTTTCATGGCATATGGCGCAAATAGGGCTAGTAAGCCCAAGCTGCCTCCAAGCACCCAGACAAAAGATCCCAGTGGGGCTCTAACCGCATGTAACGTCCTTACACCTTCCTGCCCCCTGCAGCTTCCACGCCTGAGTTTATGCCTCTGAAGTATGAGCTGATGTTGAGTCATTTGGTGGAAAATGGCTCCACCTTCTGGCAGCCAGGCACCATGTCTAAACGATGGGATGGATTCACCTCATTGCACTAGGAACATATTGTACTTGGAGGGATCAGATTTTAAACTCGATACAGTCACAGTTGGAGCAAGATGCATGCTGGGAAATTAGGGGAGGGAGCCGTGGGTGCTAGGTACTGATACTGAGTGAGCCAAATACAGCTGGAAGTTATGCAATACATTACACATGGTACTGTATTTTAAACATTTTTTTGTATTTTAAAGTCTGTATAATATTACTTGTGCCTAAGATATTTCTGGATTGAATAATTATACATATAATAAATGAAATACATTTTGCTGCTCATTAAATCTACATAGTCTATTTAATGTGTTTAATATTTAGTTTTATAGGAATGTATGTACCATTGCCCAATGGGCAAATGCCACATACCATTGCATTTATAACCTAAGCTAGTTTGCAGTGCCCTTCCCAAGATGAGCCTTTAGACAAAACTCAAGAATAAATTACATTCAAAACAAGTACTAGTGCCCAGAGCAAAATTGCGCAGCCTCATAACATTGCACTAGGACCTGAATTATCAAAATTGCATCTGCATTAAACCTGTCAAAAAGCCAATAATAAATTTAAATTCCCAGATTTGTCAATAATAGTGTACAAAATTGTTTACTTCTTCCAGTTAAGCTGAAGACACCACAGAGACACAAATGTAACCTCTGAATGCCCGTGAATACTGACAATGTGTGTTGTATTCTTGATCCCAAATTGATAAATTACAAGAATTTGTTATCCTTAACCTCTTACATACACTTCCTGTGCTCTTCTTCTTCTATCTTCTTCTATCTAATTGTCTTGCACTATTTGTTAATTCTTACTTCTTCCCCAAGGTATTTATCCCATTGATACCGCTAATAGCTCTTACTAGTATTTATTTCTGATCTTACTAATATCTATTGTCACTTGTGGATCTCTTACTATACTGATGCTTGTTGTTCCTCACAGGTAAGTGACTTTGGATAAAATTTGAATTTGGATTTGAATGAGTAAATGTAAATGTAAGAATTTCATAGTTTTTCAAATGCTTTTTTCACATTTTGAGCTCTGTTCTGTTGTCTCCAAAGGAAGCGCACAGAATAATGCTGTAAAATAACACATTAGAGCACATTATAGTTATTGTACTGGTTAAGTAAAAGATTAAATCCCTGGCTGCAGATGAAATTGACCTAAACAGTAATATATTAACAGTTTTAAAACAAGTATTACTTGTGATATATTGTTTGCTATTAGGGTCACTGAAGTGAATCAGGACATATATGATATAGACTTCTACTTTGTAAATTGCTTAGTGTGGTGCAGTCTTTACCAATCCAATGTATGCATGCCCATCAGTCTGCCCGATTGGATGTTTAGAATTTGACCAATGTGCCTTTTCACTGGTCTCTGATTCATTATCTTTTAAGTCTACATCCATTTCACTACGTTGGTGCAGAATGGCGTATGTGCAGAGTCTGACATTCATCTACTGAAAGTTGCTCTGTGCTCACCTCAAATATCAGTGGAACGTGCACGTACAAGCATGATTTGTGATGTCATAAGTAGTTTGGAAGCCAATTGTGGTCCAATGAGCAACAAGTGCGATGTGGAAACTTGGGACGGCTAGCGCACGTACAGTGAGAATAGAGTGCAAGTGACGCAGGACAATTCTTGTGTCAAGTAGTTAAACTTTTGAAGTGAAACACATTTGCGTATTCAAAGATTCTGGATTTTTCAATGAGTGAGAAGGGATTTCTTTTTTAACCATGAATTTTAACATACTGTATGTAAAAAACAACATATCAGACAATTATTTAAAGCAGTATGTTGTTATATGTTTAAAAACATGTCTGGAGGTGAACTCAGGTTTGTTTGTACAATGACATGAATTTGAGTGGCAGCAAATCCTGTGTAGGCACTGGAACCAGTATGACTGCACTGGAGCCTGGCAGCCTTTCCTGACTGTGTTGGTTGTTGACATCTCCATATTTCCATATTCCCTCACCTCTTGAGGACAGTTTCTGTATTGCCTTTCTACTAAATGTAGAGGAGGTTGCAAAATCTCCTAGTTCTGCGTAGCTTTTGTCTGTAACGGGTTAGGGTTGTTGCAGAATAAAAGGATTTAGTGGATTTATTGGAACTCATTGATGGGCCAAGTGTGGGTGTCAAAAATCTGTTTCTCAAGTCGAGACACACAACAGCGAAACTAACCCACCCTCCACGTGGAAAATATGTTCAGATTCAAGTCCTGTGAGAAGTCGTCAAGGTCAGTCTTCAAAACTGAGACGGTCTATCTATGGCCAAGAGCAAAAGAGCTGTCATCTCATGAGGGGGTTAACTGGCGTGCTCAGCAGCAGCTCATCAGTGCTGTAGAAGAGAGGAGAGAGTGTTTCAGGGTCGCCACCCTAATTTTCTCCACATCTGAGATTTGTGTGTGTGTGTGTGTGTGTATGTGTGTGTGTTTGTCCATTTTCATCACTAGGTGGCAGCTGCGTTTAAAGGTCGGGAGCTAGTTCAGAGTTTAAAAAACTGACCGTGTAGTGATAAAATACTCTCCAGGAACTATGGGGACTGTATGTAACACAGTGGTCTGTGGATAAATGTGATAACGATGACTCTGATATGAGAAACAACATTCTAGTGATGACCAATATCAAATTTTGGGTGCCCCTAGGCAAATGGTAATGACAAGACGCATAAAGCACAAAATAAATGCCCAGGTCATGCTAAATGTCTTCTGGAGTTTAAAACCGTATGAGAAACACACAATTGCAAATGAATAAAAATGTACTCAAACACCACTTGGTGTCTTGTTTATTAAGAACATGCATTGAACTAAATTGTGAGTTATTGTTTTCAGGCAAGAATCCAACCAAAAATTGTTAAAAAAGGAGCATTAATGTGCCATGCAGTTACTGATTAGCAGCTTATCAGGTCAGTGAGGTTGTGGAGGTTGAACACCGTGTTTGTGGTTAACTTTGCCCAGGCACACAGGGCCAATGTTTAATCTGCACACCAACACAGTTATCCAACACTGCAGTACCGGGAAAATGAGTTTGAGCTGACTTGTTCACACAAAAGGAGGTTTTGCCACTTGTCATATACTGTAGTTGTGTGTTGTACTAGTCAACAGCAGAACAATATGGGGTTTTAGGTGGATTAAAAGTGTCAGCTGGCAGGGAGGCAGGCTTGGCAGCTGGAAGACTGGCTGTTTCCTGAAGTATTTATAACAAAAAAAAAAACAGTCCAAGTGGAGGCTGCCATGGTTTCACTCCACAATGGCAAGGGTGCGGCTGTAACTCAACAAAAACCTATCCTCCTTCCCCCCTCACGGGACGGGGCAGCCCTGAAGAGAAAGCTGGATGTAAAAAGACTCCTCCTCCTCACCTCACTAAACATGAAGTGGGCCAGTGTTTTTCTGCTGGGTGGCTCAGTGGTGTTTAAATGGAGAGACCATATAGTGACACCCAGGGGTCCAAAAGCAACAAGAGGCCCTATGACAGCTGAGGTGATACAGGTTCACATTAAATGAAACTGATCCAGCGGTCATAATTATTACATGAAAACACAACCAAATGCCCACTCACCTTATTTTCAGAAAACTTTTTCTGTTTTTGTCCCGGTCTTTCTTGTCACCCCACTACATGATTAGCACTCTCTTTTTTTTAAATTTATTCTTTTCTGATGTTCTGCTTTCTCCTCAGCTTGTTCATGGTAGTTGTAACCATTGACCTGTGCTGCACATGCATCACTTTCAACAACAGCTCTGTCAAAAGGCTGCGGAAGTGGGCTGGCATCTAAATAAACCTTTGTGTTTGCTTGACACTGGCTTTAAAACAAAAATAAATGCAAATTTAGTCTTCTATTCTACTTTTTTGATTTTCTTCTGACCTTTTTCAAACCCAATATGTAGAAAAGTATGGAATTGGTAACTCTTCCCTTTGCCACAAACTGAACTTGCACATTTTATGATGGTGACAAAATACAGAAATGAGCACAAGTATTGTTATTAGACCGAATAAGGAAATCTTGTTAATAATGTTTTATATTTTATATGGATGAGAAAAGGTCTAGAAAGAACTGTGGACCTACAGTATGTTGTCCTACATTTTGACGCTACTTATGTTAGGGGTCAGCAAGAGAGGTCGAAATCCCTGTTAGACCTAGATTTGAAAGGGTATGTTCTGTCAACACAGATGTAGAGCAGATGAAAATCATAATAAAAATGTATTTAACAATGTTTCACAGCTTGGGGCTCTGAGGCCCTCAAACACAAGTAATGTGTCATTTTCTTTAGTGGATTTGTCATCAGTTTCATGCCCACAAGAAATTCTCATAAAAAATACAGTATCACGCTGAAAACACAATTTTAACTATGTTTTTTTGAGCTGTTAAATGGCCTCCAACATTAGGGTTACACTGATGATTACAAATAAACAAACCTTTACAGAATCACAAACATAATGGATGCTATAATGGCTCAAATAAAAAACATCAGTGGCTGGATTCACAGTGGCATTCCTACAACTGTTGAAAGAGGAGCAGGGAAGTAAAAGACTGCAAAAACAGTGTGAAAAAGAGAGAGAGAATTGTGTGTTTTCTTTCTTTCTCAGCCTGTCTCACTCACAACCCCTATAACAGTCCTATTCTAAGATTAAGTATCCTTTCATGGCTTTATTTTGTGCACTTACATTGTATAGCTATGAATAGGTTTCTTCATCGTACAGTAAAAGGACATTCAGGTGAGTTTCTAACTCCGCCCCCAGCGGACCGAGCGCTCTGATTGGCTAGTTCGAACACCGCTGCCCACAAACACACGCAACAGCGGAGAATATGAGTAACTCTCGGTGGCTGCTGGAGGAAGATACAAATCAAATTCTCCACAAGGAAAATTGGTCGTCGATTCCCAGGACTTTCTGCTTGAAGACTCGACCCCTCAGTGTTACTGGTAAGTTTTTTTAACTTTTACCTCATCTCTGAGGGGAGTCAGCGGGAGTAGGTTTATCCGGAAGTTTTCGCCTGTGCAGAGGTTTTCCCCTCTGTTTCTCCACCAAAATCCATGAGGGAGCCTCGTGGAAGCTGTTAACATGGTCCCGAGCATACAGACTGAACGTTTACCATTTTATTTGTGCACAACTGAAGGCCAGCGTGCTTTTAAAGTCTCTCATAAGATATACTTGTCCAGACAAGCTGCCAGGAGTTCAGAAAAAAAAAAGGTGTGTAGTTAAAGTGTAATTAAAATCATGAAATTGGTTCTGAGTATCACTTAATTGTTACATAAACGATTACTCCCCCTTTCACACCTGCTGCAATCGAACTAAAAGACAAAGGTGCAATTTACAGCCCCGCACTTTACAGATTTAACTGTTGCATAATGGCAGGTAATTGACATTGACCGGTCGGTGCGTGTTTGTGTTGAGTGACAAACGACAGCTTCCAGTCTGGATCGTTCTCCATTTGTCCTTGATTGGCAGGTGGGAATAAATGTGGAAGAGGATCAGTAGTTTACTGGTGCACATCTGACCTGGGAGACCAGAGGCGTTGCATGATATCAGTGTGGGGCTGCAGTGGCTGATGGTAGGATTAAGTGAATGTTGTGCTTGTGATGAGTTCATTAGGGAGAGCAGGTTAGCTGGAGGGTGGAAAAAAGGCGCTGCTGCTGTTTTTGGATCAAAGCACAAACTGACTGACTGGTGTAACTATTGTGCCAAGACAATAAAGAGGGATGTACATTAATATGAAGCCCTGCAGTGTGACAGTCCAGGTTTCCTGTTTGAGGGAAAAGGACAAAGTAAAGGCTCGGCAGGTGCTTCCTGCAAGGAGTGCTACACTTGGGAAAGACCATTCACACACTGCACCTCAGAAACTGGTGATGTGTTAATGGGGATGTTTATTTTTGTCCTCACAACAAGTCTTCTTTACTTGACCTTGTGATTTAGCCTGATAATCAGGATGAGTGGCCATTTTCCCTTCATTTCATTCATAGATGAACAAATAGGAGCTGTGGGAAGTGATTCAGAGGTCTGCCACCAGGCTACTTGGTATTATGGCTGTTAATAGATTTTTCCACTGTGATTTCTTGTGCATGTCATCGGATTTTACCTTGACAACATTACACAGAATGTGCTGTAACTACAGCTCATGACTCGAGAAAAGGGAAGGGGGTGAATGAGAGCAGGCGTGTCATTATTATTCATCCTCACATGCTGTTCATGAAAAATGAACTGCAACATTTTGTTGTCCCACACACAATCAACATCGCATCCAATAATTTCCAACAGCTCAATCGATCCAAACACCAATCAGCTGATGGGTGGGCTGACCCAACTGGCCTGACCTGCTCAGCTGTTGAGAAATTGATACTTGTATTAAATTGCATTGGGGGGGGGGTTCATCAGAGTAACGTTTCAGTCCTCTACAAATGTCTTGTTCTATGGTACTAAAATCATCTTGTTGTTTTTAGTACCATAGAATAAAATCAAATGTCTTGTTCTATGGTACTAAAAGACCCTAAGGATTCGGCTGTTTATTTTTTTCGCATAAGATTTTGTTTTAAGCCTGTTTCTTGCTAGCCAAAATTACCATTTCAATTAATATCACAGTGACTGTGATTTAAGGATGGACCTTGCTAACCAAGATGCCTAGCTCCGCCCCAAATATGGTCATGTCAGATTCCAAACAAACTAAGATGGTGATGGCCAAAATGCCAAACTCAAGGCTTCAAAACCAATGGGTGACGTCACGGTGGCTACGACCACTTCTTTTATACAGTCTATGGTTCTATGGAACGATTAGGCTCATTGTTTTGGTTTTACAGCCTGAGCCAGATATTTCGCCTAAGGAGTTCACAAAGAGCAAAAAGGAGCTAAATGAAGAGTTAATACTGTACTTACTTTCCAGGAGGCCAACCTGGCTCTGCTGGATGTGTGAATAGGCAACTGTTAGCTAAAATCTTTGTTAAATCGACCTCATAAGGTTATAATATTTCAGTGTTGTTTACAACTTGTCCCCAAGTGGCCAAAAAATTAACGCAAGTTATAGGTTGGCTTGCTATTTGCAGCCAATTGGCTCTTCAATGCACATTATATGAAGTTACCTAGTGCAGCTTTCATTTTTTTACATTTTATTGGGCCATATTACAAAAGCAGTACAGTATTAACTTTTTCGTAGATCATGTGAGTCTCTCCAATAAATTAGCTACTTTTAAGTACATATGACTTTTGATTATGCACTGGCGTACACCGCGTCAAACTGAAGGTGTCATTGTAATAATGTTGTCCTTGTTAGACTCTACACCGGTCTGTCACCGGATCACTTGCAATACAGTACGTCACTCTGTTTGAGACAGAGCTGTCACTGCCCAGCTCTCAATGAATGAGTGCACACATGAGTAGCAACCCCAATTCCAAGCTTCATAATCACCATCTGCTTGATCTTTGGCATTAGGCCTCGCAGTTTGGGCCTGCCAAGGCTCCCAAAAGAAGTTGCGACCGAGGTACACATACACACCAGATGAGACAAAGCAGGCTTAATGAGTTAAAAATGCACGTGGGCACATATGGGCTGCGACGCTGCATGCATGGGCACAAAGGAGATGATAATGAAAATCTTGGATTACCCCTCATTTATTTAGGGTACCGTTTACCAAAGGGAATTGTGGGGGGTGGTGGGTCATTGATATGTGGTAAAGATGGTCTTGTTCTGTGGTAGAAGGTGGTTTGGATTAGTAGCATTGTATGATGATAGATTCCTGATAGTAGCCATTAAAATCAAGTAAAACAGCATTTCATTGATGTCAAGCACTGACAGCGTTTTGTTTCTTTGTTCCCATGTTAGTGTCACTTTGTCACTCTTGTATGGGGGTGTGAGTTTGTCTCTGCTCACTGAAAATATGGAGGGCGCACAAGTTTTTCCAACCATGTCTTATTATGATTAAGGTGAAAGGTCCTTCAGTTTTTAATCCCCCCCCCCCAACACACACACTAGCTATTAATATGTGACAAACAAACGCAACTAATTAGGCTGAGCTCAACGACCCCTTGACCTTCCACGTCTCCTTGGCCTGACCTTCTGTGAAGAGTTGGGGAAGGGGCGGCATGGCTGTTTAGGCTACAGAAGCTTATCTGAACGTTGTTAGGGCTTTGTAGATTCCAATTTGTGAAAAAATCCTTGATTATTGGCAGATCTCAGGCAGAGAATACCTTTTGTTATTTGACTGAATTTAAAATAACACATGAGAATTGTTATCAGTAAAGGAAATGGGGTTCACATTATCAATATGTTGACAATAGAGGAGGAGCCCAGCCGTACTTCACAAACTGTATTTACACTGGTAAGTTTATAGTGGTAGATGGCCTGGTGGCTTTTGAGTGCTAGACGGATGTCATGTTAGAAATCCTAAATCTTTTTGCGACCGTTGGCTCCTTCCTATACTCCTATCTGTCAACAGTTTCATGTCACAGTTAATTAATTTAATGAGCACATGATGTGATGCGCTTCTGTTCATTGTGGGATGACCATCAGTTACTAAACGTATTAAAATAACAGCTCAGGAAAAATCAACGGTCAAGTTGGTTTGGGAGTGTGGTCAGGTATTTCAAATTGCCGGCCTGTGCTGCAACTGAAGCAATGATGTCATTGCAGTTAGTGTGTGTGTGTGTGTGTGTGTGTGTGAGGTCAGCAGAAACGGCTCAGCGTGGGCGTCGTGCCAGACCTGCTTCAGCTTAAAGGATGCCCCGTTCCTGTGTGCTGGTCACTGTCAACTGATCGCTGACATCGTGTGTGTGTGTGTGTGTGGGGGGGGGGGTTAAAAATGACTGGAGCCATGATGGAACTCTGTTTGAAAAGTGGCTTTTTGTGGTTTGGCTGTAGCTCCATTTAGTAAAAGCCTCATTGAGAGGAAGACATGTCTCCAAATAGGTTACTGGGACATAGTAAAGTCTGAAGTTAAGCCATCTGCCGGTTTCAAACAAACCAGTGCGTGCATATGTTTCGCCTGACTACATCACACATCCCATTCATATATTTTCCTAAACCGCTAGCCTTGGAGCTGTGATGGGAAAAGGCTCGCCATAGAGCGGATAAGGTTTCTCCTCTGACAGCAGAGATACAGTTGGAAAAAGATGTCCTTTGAAAAGCTAAGTTTTAAAGTGGGGAAGTAAGTGGACCAACATGGTTTGGGTAAATACATGGCTGACTGTATCCTCTGTTTGACGCCAAAGACAATCTGGCAGCTCACATGCTAGAGGCGGTGTGCTGCAAACTGATTTACTGACCTGGAGTCAGCTTGCATTGGCACCTCTGCTGGTCAAGGTTATAGAAAGCAGGCAAGTAAGCCTGATCCTGAGTCAGCACTGAGGGGCTTTGAATTCCCGGCGATAACCCGGTGGCATGTCATGAGCTGTGGATTAGCATCAACAAATCAAAATGGGATTGGCAGGTGGCTCCCACTCATTCAAGCCTTTAAGATGGACTTTACCCACACTGTCTCACCTCTAAGGAAAGACCACTCCAACAAGGACAAGAGGAAGGAGGCCAAGAAATGATTTAATCCTGCTTTGTGTGTGTGTGTGTCGGGGGGGCTTTACCATGGAAAACGGTGATGAGCTTTTACAGACCCAAGGGGGACTGAATTGCTTTAGAAAGTAAAGTTTCATTGACGATGTTGGGCTCAGTTCGACAACAGACGTATATTTACTTTTTTATTCTCTAACTGAATGAATTTCTATCTGGACACAGTGCAGCCGGGCCCCATCTGTAATGAAAAGGGGGAGGCCAGGCTCTAAATGAAACGCTCCTCCGACAGGGTAATTAAGTCCAGACACAAAGGGCTCAGCAGGAAGGAGTTTAATAGAGGAGGAGTTGGTATTCCCCCGGGGGCCGTTGGAACCAGCAGAACCCTTTTGGACTGGCCCTGTGAGCTGGCCTGCAGCCACTTCACATCGCGGA